GAGCCCTCCTCCCTTCCTGACATGCCCTTGGCAGGGTGTCACTGGCATTGGAACTAAAGCAGTGTCAAAGACTGGAAAGTACAGAAAAACTTTATATATTTGTAATGAGTAATGTCTGTCCATAAACCAGGCACAGCATATTTACGTCAGAATGGTGAAATGAAAGGAAGTCTCTTAAAATTACACTGCTTCAGCCATCTCATTTTAACAAAAAGGGTTTTGATTATGCAATTAACTGAAGAGGGGGATTTTTTTTATCTTTCAGTTTATTCCAGAAATCTTTATTGCTTAGGATTTCTCCCATTTTGCTTCATATTCAGTGGCCTGCAGTAACCTTTGTAAAAAATGTTTCCCACAAACTGAGATACAAGCTCTGGATTAAAGATAACTGAAAAATAAACTGACATAAGTTAATGCCTACATTTAAATACTGCCTGTGTTATTAGGTTGCTGTGTGTCAGAACACTTTATAGACATTAATCCTCTCACTATGCCTGAAACAGTCAAATTAACAAAAGGCTGGTGGGGTGGGGGGCAAGGGGTGGGGAGGAAATCTGAGGTAGAAGTTGACTGTCAGGTTTTCAAAATAGCTCAGTTACCTTTTAGATACATACACGAGGCAGATTTTGAGGTGTTCAGCAGCAGATCGATCCACTGTAAAATTTACAGCCAGATTTTGAAAACAGCTTAGCACATGGACTAACAGGAAGCTGAGTTCTTCTGAACATATATTCCCAGTTTGCAGAGGCTGAAGTATATTGAAAATCTGGCCCTTGTGCCCAAATCCACAAAAGGATTTGCGTACTTGCATCTAATAATTAGTCATCAACCCCTCCTGCCTAAGCAGCCACCTAAAAATCAGATGTGTCCAAAGCACCTACGTGCCTCAGTAACTAGCATTAAAAGTTCCGCAGGTGCTTATACTGGTTCTCTATCTAGATGTCTACCAGGATTAAATGTTTCTCTGACTTTCTCTCAGAAGCTCAGATCTGGCCCACCAACAGATTTTGATCCAGCCCACAGGTGGATGGCCACCAACTCATTGGATCTGGCCCAAGGACAGTTGGCAGCTCCAGCCACTGCATGGTACCAGACAGGTGGGTGGTTGGGCCTGCTTCTGCCCAGCAGTCTCAGCCCCTGCTGTGGCAGCATCAGCTGTGGATCCAGGTGGGGTTTCTGCTGCAGCACATGCCAGGCGGGTGTCAGCGTCAGCTGTGACATTGGTGGCAGGTTCTGCATCTGGGCTCTGGAACCTGCTGGCTGTGCCCACAGCAGATGCTGCCACTGAACTACTGCAGCAGAAGTCTCCATCTGATCTTTGGGTCTCCTGGCAAACTACAACTCTGGCCAGGTTCTGAAAGGAAAGGGAGACAGAGAGGGAGAGACATGGATATGGCCTTTGACAGGTCCCCAAAACTCATTAAATGACCCTCCAGCCAAAATAATTGCCCATCCCTGCTCTAGGTCCTTCCAGATCAGGGTCCACATGCACAAAAGAAAAATAATGCAGCACCATCCACAACTTTCCTTCAAAACACTTTGGAAATGAATTTAAGTAAACCAAATTAAACCCACTAATTCCAAATGAGTGTGTCCACCTGCCAGGCTAAGGCAATTTAACTACTCTGCTTTAAATTCAGAAGAAATTATGACACAGGAAAAGAAATAGTTGATAGCTATTTAAATTGCACATTGCTTATTTTTTTTCTTGCTAGAACCATGAAAGATCGTAGTGGTTTTTTACTACTGACATCCATAGTTAATTTTTGCTAAGTAGAACTCTATGCAACAACCTCATAACTTGAGGAACTTGATATTGCTCTTCTTTTGTTCAAGAGAATGAAGTAACATATCCTACAGCATTGCATATTTCAAATGGATACACCTTCTAATCTCATAGTTAGTGGTAGAGTGTAATTAGTAATTATTTATAGCAATAGGAACATATAGACAAAGCTTCACAAAACATAAGGTGACAGTCAACTTACAGTACAATTTCTGGCAAATGCTGTAGTATACTACAGTAGAATGGAAAGCAGTGATAAAAGGCAGAGATATTCAAGTTATTCTAAAAAAATAGGTGCTTCCCACCTTAAGTTATTAAAACTAATTAAAAGTAGTTTTCACCATTTGTACTTGTTTATGTTTTCACATCAGTTAGTTTGCCCTGATTAGGCAAATTACTACAGCTCCCCATAGATTTATTTCTTCCAGAATTGATATATTTTACCTTTTTTTGAAAGTGCTTTTTTGAAAGTTTTAGCACAGGTACTCCATAAACACACTTTTGTACCTATTTACAAACTTTTTTTTGCATATATATTGCATTGCATATAAATAAAAACTTTACCTCAACCACTCTGCCAAGTGGCCCCTGTGGTTCACTTGGCAGATCAAAGCACACTTTGACAGTTAAACCATTAAAAATCTGCTACAGTTTGCACTGCGTATCCGCGCACCCATCTCCATACCCAACCTGCCCCTGACAAAGTCTGTGCCAGACCCCTCTCCACCATATGATGTCTGCTATTTCTTTTCCATTGTCGTCTTCTGTTTTTCTGTAGTACCAGTACATTTCACTTAGTCCCATTTTAATACAGTCCTCAACTGTGGGGCCCGAGTGTCTGTTTATGAGCAGGTTCCTGGCTTTCCACAGGGCATACCTGAATCAGGATATGAACTTGTCATTACAAACTCTACTTTTTTTCTTTTTTTTTTTTTAAAAGAAAAAGTTTTAGTATTCCCAGTCAAATCATCCAATTCCAAATCTGTGCAAGTCATTCAAGAACCATTTGTGGCTCTGCTGCCAGCAAGCATCCTCCACCCCTGCTTAGGGTTTCATATACTTCCAAATCCTTTGTCGTGGTTTTCCCTGCCAGTAGGAAAACCACCTTGGTGGTCATGGTATTTCTCCTGCTAGGTAAGTAAGGTCAGTAAGTAAGGTCATTAAGGTCAGTAAATAAAGTCATTACATTTTTTTTTTTTTTGTAAAAATATAATGTGTCTCTATATTTAAGGTTATATATATTTACACCACAGAAGGATAAAATGCACCCATACATCCATTATAAAAACAAATGCACCTGCACACCCATACAAAGGTCTGCTGGCCACATGAACCCATTACAATATCCACAATGCATGCAACACATACAAAACAATTACATCTGTGCTGGTCCCTCAGACCAGTCCATCCTTCCTTTCCACCCTTGCCCCGCTTCTGGGGTCACATACTCAGTTCAAAGTGCCCTCTCTATCGTTGTCACTCCAGCTCCTGCTGGAGAACCCACTGCTGCTACAAATTATGCAATGTATTAGTTCAAAGCCAGAAGACTCATTATTTGTTATATAGTTCATTGGGCTGGGCCCCAGCAGGGTCAACAGCATTTCAAACTATGGCAACCCCACAGCTGAGCACTGCGCATACCCGTGTCCAGATACTCCCCACAAAGGATCCATGTGCTGATTAGCCCCCGACTCATGACTGGAACTGAGGGATCTTGTCATGAGTCCTGGGATCCTCCAAAAAGGTGTATGCAGATGAGGCACAGGGCAACCGGGTCTGGCTCCACCTCATGGAAGGCGGGGCCACACTAATCATACGCAACAGGGTGAGAGAGGGAGTGACAGAGGGGTTCTTGGTTGAACTGTTTGGGGGCCCCATTTGGTGATGTTTGCCAGACATTTAAGGCTGTTTAAGAAACAAGAGCCATTAGAACTGGGAAAGAAAGGCACAGCTCAGCTGTGGGAGTGAAGAGGAAGTGGAAATGTATGCAATGTAGTGGCTTACCACGCCTTTAAAAATATCTTATTCAGCTTGTCTGCACTTGCGATAGGTTCCCAGCAGTATGTTTCACCATATGGACCAAAAAAAAAAAAAAGGGTTTTATAGCCACGCTCAGTATTGGCTGCGGTAATTAACTTTATAGTTGGTTCCCATTACTGAGCATGTTTGGCAGCAGTTTATGGATAGACAATGTATTTAATGAGGTTTACTTGTGCACAATTATAAGATGAGGGGCTTCCCCATACCGACGGTGGAAAAAACCCCTCATCTTGTATTCAAGCAAATATGGTATTACATATGCATAAGTAAAAGTGTCTTGTGGCTCTGGCTTCTGTAGAAAGAAGAGTTTCAAACTTTGATTATCAAGTTATTTTCTCCAAAGGTCATTGAAGTTCACAGTCCAGAGCAGTGGTGCTCAGCCTCTGGCCCATGGGGCTCTGTCCTCTGTCCCCACACAGCCCTAAGTACCCCAAAGATGCTTAGCTTTTGCCTCTCCAGGTTCCCCAGCTATCAGCCCCAAAGCTATTCCACTGATATATGTTTTCATACTCACCCCCCACAAACCAGACACTGCTTGTTCACTCTGCCTTGTCCATTGTCATGCTTCTCCTAGCACTGCCTAGCACTTTCCAGCCTGTGGGAAGTCTTGCAGGCCAGATGACATGGCTCCGTGGGCCAGCTCTTGGTCACCCCTGCTCTAGAGATAGGCAAAGCAGTAAATATGATAAATCTTAGGTTCCAGATTCAATTCCTTTATTTATTTCAGTATACTAAGGATAACCTACATCTTCTCTCCAGGAATGCACAATCTACATCTTGGGTGTCACAGGAGAAGCTGCTGGTAGTTTAAGGCCAGGGACTAGTGTAACATTTGTAGCACTGCAAGTGCTGCTGCACTAAGAAGTACTACAACACAGGTAGCACCATCCAGATGAACAGATGCAATTACCCCACCCCACTCCTTTCTGGGCTGCAACAAAATTACTGTGAAGGCATGCCGTGGTGTGCTCTATGGCCAGGGAATACAAGAACAGGGTGCTTGGCCCTGAAGTTTCCTTCCAGCTAGGCAGACCTTAAGGGCTGCAACTCCAATCCCTCCCCATCCAGAGATTCCCCCCATCCAGAGATGCCTGCTGTCCAGCCCTAGTAACAACTGAGTGCCCAGGCAGCATTCATTAACTATCCAGCCCACTTTCTCCCTGCCTCTTTTCAGGGGTGGAGGGGGAAGGAGAAGAAAGCAGAGCACTGTAGGATCCTGGGGAAGAGACCTCCATGGAGGTAAGGGATGTGAGCAGAATGTACATCTGGGTGCTTAGTTTTTATTTCCTCTCCTTCCATAACCTTCCTGAAACAGAAAACTCACACCTCTTTTGGGGGTTGGGTGTTCTAAATTTACCTGCTCTCAGAGTTTAATTTGCTCAATGTCTTCATTGGTTGCTCCTGGAAAAGTCTCCCACCTATGAATATGTAATATGCCAATACATATGCAACACACATCTAAGGGACTTTGTTTTTGAGCTGGTAAATATTTAAAATATTTTTGAAGTCAGAAGTTTAACTTTGTTGTGAATTCACTTCCTGAGGCATCATTTCACTTCCATCAGGGTTTGAGAGAAATGGAAATTGGTTTTAAATTTAGACTGTTCTACAGTGCAGGAGTGTTCAGAGAGTATCTTTAAATATAAATAGCCATCTGAGAAGGTGTTAGCTCTTCTTCTTAAGAGTCTTGGGATACGTTTCTTTCTGATTTACTAACATACTGCCAACTAACTATTTTTCCCCAACTCAGTATTCCTATTTTACATGGCTTCTTATATTAGTAATCAGTAATACCAGATTATAGCATGAACACTTCCTATTTGTCAGACAAAGCATTAAGCAGTTATCTGAAAGTTTGCATTTAGATTTGAAATATTTGCAAATATTTCAAGAATGTTACTATCTTTAACCCTTTAAAAAGAAACATGTTTTCAGGAATGTGAAATTTTAGAAACAAGAAAGTTCTTCTACAAAAGATTTTCCATCCACTGTTTTTCTTAAAGACTTTAGAACCCAGATGTAAGGAATTGCATTCAGTAACTGAGTCGGTTGGTTATAAGTGTTGGTCTAAGGACATAGGCAGATGAGGTTCTTTGGGTAAATGTGATATCCTTTGTTAGACCAACTAAATAATTGGAAGATTTGTTCTTTACAAGCTTTCAGGCACAAGCACCCTTCTTCAGGCATAGGGAGAATCTGCTGGTGTTTGTGTGCTCTCCTGGGTGGAACAGAATTATTTACATTTTATTAGACTAACTGTCACTAACTTTTCATGTGAACAACACCACTGAACTAGCTATACATAAGTATTTACAGAATTTTTCCTTAGCTTTGAAAATGTCAGGCTTCCACAGGTTTAGATGCTTAAAGTTTTAAAAAGCTTTAAAAAAATCATCCCCTTAGAAAACATACTTATGAGGGAAAGAAAATAAGAAGATTAGCAGATTAGTTATGTGTATTCCAAAAAGAGAAAAGGTCATATTTTAAAATTTTACTCCAAGAAGCCAAGTGCCTTTCCTTTCATATATTCAAGGACAGAGGAAAGTAACAAAATCCAACTTTTACATGGCCGATGTGGGGGGAAACCACCCCCTCTCCCCTGTCAGTCTTCAGTGTTGGTCGTTTCAGAGAAACTTTATAACGAAGAGGTGCCTACATAATAAAAAACTAACATACTAATTAGCACCTTTGCCAGTCTTGATAGCCTGACAGGTACCTTGGGACTCACAGTAAGTAGAGGATAACATTTTACTAGAATTACTTAAATTATCCATTCCCCCTACAAACCTTTCTTCTTTGTCTGACCCTGTCTTGTAAGCATGGCAGTTTGTAGAGAGCTAAGTAGTCAACAATAACTTCACAAATGCATAAGAGACTTTGACCTTCAGGCAGACAAACAATTCTCACCAGCTCCTAGTCAAATGTTAACTGATCAGTAAACAGGATTTTTTTTTTTAAACTACAAGAGAGAATTGTATTTAAAATTGGTTTTCAAACTTCAAATGGATATTTTCTGGACTCATACTGGAAAGCATAAGACATTTTGTTTTGTTAAATCATCAAGCGGCTCTTGAGCATTTGGTTTCACTTGGCCATCCCAGCACCACTTTTGTACTGTAAGCAATGAAGCCGCCTTTACTAAAAAAAAAAAAATCAAACAAACTGTGAAGTGGAAGGCATAAGCTATAATGGTCCATGAAAACAAGTATTTTCAGTGTTCTACCTATAAGATGACCAGATAAAGCTCAGATAAAGTACTACTAATAAACTGAGCTCTAAATGTAAAGAAACAAAAATCAGGCTTGGGGGTTTTTTTTCATCTTTCATGAAAGGTTAGAGCAGAGCTTTCCAAACTGTGTGCCGCGACACATTAGTGTGTCGGCGGCAGTGTGTAGGTGTGTCATGCGAAATGCAGAAAATTTTGCGGAAGGGCACCGCGGAGCTCCCTTACTCACGTCTGCTTCCCTTGGCCCCTCCCCCGGAACTGAATTACTGTGTCGCGAAATGATGCATGTCTAAAAAGTGTGTCACCAACATGAAAAGTTTGGAAAGCTCTGGGTTAGAGGAAAATAAAATCTAAGGCAAATATCTGGAGATAATAGCATCATTTTCTGTGTTCAGTAAACTGTTCAGCAAATTAGAGATTGGGAAAGGGGGGAGGTTTCACAGTTCTTTTCAGAGACCAGGTCTGCCAATACATCCAAGAGCTTACTGCTTATTAATAGGGGAATGAGCACGCCAGAGTCTTTTCCACACTGGACCTTTTAAAAATACTCAGACATTTGAAAGACACCCACTGTAATTAGTTCTAGGTAACTGTGATGTTGTAGCTGTTGTGATGTTGTAACTGTGATGTCAGACTGTAGTCAATTTGCAGTGGCAAATAAACATACTAGCACCATTGAAATTCATCTTGTTTGACCAAAACTCTGTATCCTCTCTCATAATAAGGTATTTCTTATATAAATCAAGAGCTTGTTGAACTTAGAGAAAAAATCCCTGAAGTTGCAGGTGCAGCTCCGTGAGCAGTCACAACAGTGAGAGTTTTCATGTGATCTTTCGAATATTTCTAAAGCCATAAAGCTGCATTTCAATTTTAAACCATTTTGCATGCATCCTATGCTTCCTACTCTGGTAAAACAGAAACCTATCATTCATTTCCTGCCTTTCCCCTTATGTTTGCCTTTATTTCCAGTTCCAGGAATTGTAGACAGAAAAACCTCTCCATGAATGTTAGCCATTTCAGCAATTGCCTTAGGTCAGTATGCCAGCGCATCAAGTCTAGTTCTGAGAGTGACCTATTACACTGTTCCTTTCTTCTTCTGTTCCCAGTGAGGAAGTACCACTCCCTAGCCAGGGAACCAAAGGCAGTTGTTACTGGAACTTCTCTCATTGCAGATTTTTTTCTCTCTAACAAAAAACAGCGCTAGTCTTGTGGCCAAAGGAAATACTGACTATGCATGCCATGTAGTGGAGACTTGCCATTCATTGTACAGGTATCAGCATGGCTGGTTCTGGTTATGAATTGTTAAAACATCAGAGTCTCAGTCTCAATGAGTTTTCAAGTCAAGCTGGCAACTGTTCAGCTGATGGTATGAAATACAAGTACAGGGCACCTATACACAGGCCAGACGTCTGCTCTGATGCATGCTAATTAGCATGCATCAGAGCAGATGCATGCTAATTAGCATGCATCAGAGCAGACTCCATTAATTGAGTCTGCTGGAGTGCATTAATTAATGCATTCCAGCAGCCTACATGTCATATCTGTTCAGCATCCCCACACTTTAAACTGGTGTGAGGGGGAGGGGTGCTTGAACTAAAGCACGTTGAATGAGCTTTAGTCTATCAAGCACTGGATGCTGAATACACACGACTCTTGAGGGACTTTAATTAGAGCGGCTCTCAGAGCCACTGTAATTAAAGCACCCCCACCTTCCACCGTGGACCACCTACATAGACGCCCACAACGCTTAACAGAGCTTCTGTGCTGTAGCTCAGAGTAGGAGCCATTAATTATGGCTGTCCATTGCCCCAAACCCTCAGCATTAGGCTTGTGTGTTCCAGCCAGTACAACAGACCACTCAATCAGGATACACTCACTACCTGCTCTTACACTTGAACAACCCCAGTACACCCACAGGTGTCACTGAAGCAGGATGTGACCCAGTCTACTAATATTTGCATGTAATTAACAAAGCAGCATCCACTAAAAAAAAGCTCAGTAGTTTAAGGTTACTTTCCCACTCCTAGGATTGAATGCTCAAGTATTTGTTGCAATGTGAACACAGAATAAATCTGCTTTTTCATTCAGAATTAAAGCCTATGTCAGGGCTATCTGCTGTGTGGATCAGGTTGCAGTCCCCCAGTGAAATATTTTTTTCTAAGGCACTTTGGCAGAAAGGCTACTATAAAGTAAACCAAAATCTAAACAAATATTATAGATTAGTTGAAAAAAGCCTATAAATGTTATCAGTTTTATAGACCTTAAAATAAGAGGTATTTTTAATAGAAGCCACACAGGTCAAATTCTGTTGTACTCATGTATTTTTTTGCTATTGTTATTAATTAATTGTAACCAAGAGCATAATGTGGTCTTTCTTTCCAATATAATTAAAGGTTCAAGTGTTAGTCTAGGTCTTCTTGAAATGGGTAGCTCGAGTATTTATTTCACATGATCCTAGAAAGAAAGTAATGGGGGCAGTACACTCAGTGGTAGAAGGATATTGGCATCCCAGGGGGTGCCCTGTATTTGCAAATGCTCCAGTAGATATGTGGGCATGTTTTATTGTTAAAGGACTGACTGTAGAACCAGATTAATAGCTTTTTTTTTGGATCATGGAACCGAGACAAAGCCAAATGAATAGCTTGCTACTCCTGAATGAAGTCTATGTTAATTTTTCAGGTCTATTCTCTTTCCACTGTGAGCTGAGTCTGAGTAAACAAGCCTTCTCTGCAATGCTAGGATTACATGGTTTCAATCCCTTTGTAAAAAAGACTGCTGCTGACATCTTTCTCTCAGTAGAAAATTTAGATTATGGCAGGATACAAAGTGTCTAGAGAAAATAGGTCAAGTTTTGTAGTTTGCTGTCCTGAAAGGAACTGGCAACTCTGCGAACTGAAACCTTTCTAGTTTAAAGGCACACACAGGCACAAAAGACATCGGTGAAACTGGTTGGACATTCAGCTGTTTTGAACTCTACTACTGAACATCATGATTAGAGGGTGTCTTCCAAATTTGAAAGAACTTTTAAATATAGACGTTCACCACAGTGATTACACTTGCCAATGAAAACATTTGTACAGTAGGCATATCCCTAAGAAGCAGCAGTTAAACACATCAAACAGAACACTTTCTTTCTTATACTCCTATACTGAATTAGGGCAAGATCAAGTCATTCTATGAGGGGCTCCATCCTTCACCCAATGGGAAAGGAAATAAGTGTGTACAATTACACATTTAACAACTGTTACTAAATCAAATGTCAGTGACCTACATTGTGCCTCCTCTTACACCAGTGTTCCTGCACCAAGATGGGTAGAGGTGTCAGGGTATCTTCATACATTGCTGAGGTGGAATAGAAGATATATTTTGGCTCATGCATATCATATATGCATCAAGAGCCATGTTTTATCAGTGAGAATCAGGCAACTAAGCTATTTTTCCACTTTGGAACACCCTAAGGTACACCTAGTATCTGCATTTTTAGGTGTCTACATACATTTGGGGGGCCAAATTCAGTTTTGGCAGTGACAACCCAAAGGGATAAGGAGGATTAGTGTGTGGCAGGGACAGCACAATGCTCATATAGCAGTTGAGTCCCACATGAATCCCCAAAATAGGACTCGTGAGCAGTTTAAGTGGTCCATATCGTTTTGTGGGTATGTGCACACACTGATGAGACCTGATCTACAATCACACAACTTACTTTAAGCTGTGTGATTTTTAATTAGGTCGTGTTTGTGCAGGTGTTCCCTGGTCTTAGGACCCAAGCTGGAAACATGATCCAAGTAGGTTGGGGTGGGAGGAGGGACAGGCAGGAATGGGGGGTGGGGGGAGCAAGGGGCTAAAATAGCTAAGTCAGTGGTGGTGGAAGGGGAGGAAGAGCATAGCCCAGGGGCTGGGGTGAGTAGCTGGGCTTTCCCAGCTCTGGGGCTGCGCGTCGAACATGTACAGATGTTTGTTAAGCTAACTTGATCCTGATCTAACTTACTTCTCCTCCTCAGTTCATCCAGTATAACATGGGCATTTGAAGTACAGCCCTGATATTGACGTGCTAAAATCCATTTGTTTACTCGACTTCTCCCAAAGTACATTTTCCCAATTCCCTAATTCTAAGCATATTTGTAAGTTAATCATCTTGTACAAGTCTGACCAAGCTGATATGGATTACTGCCTGTTTGTTAGAAGATGTAGGTAGCTATGAGAGTAGAGATAGAATAAGAGCAGTACAGAGATCAGCAACATTATTAGTGATATTGTTCCAGGGCTCAAAGTCACCTCTAACTTGTTAAACTAGATGTATTTGTAACTAGAATATTTTTTACTTTCTATAGAGAGTACAACAGTGGCTGCAGAGAAATGGACCTATGAACATTAATCACTATGCCAATAAGAAGAGTGCTGCAGAAAGCATGCTGGATATTGCTCTGCTGATGGCCAATGCATCCCAGTTAAAAGCAGTGATGGAACAAGGACCCTCTTTCTCATTCTACGTCCCACTCATTGTTCTCATCAGCATGTCACTCGTACTTCAAGTTGCAGTGGGCGTGCTCCTGATATTTCTTGGTATGTAGTAATGACAAGAACCACTGCCAATATGAATAACCAAATTTATGCATTTTTAAAGCTATTTGAATGGCTTTGGCTAAAATTCATTACCACCACATCAGATTATGTTTTTCAGTGTCTTGAATATTTCATTGCAATGATTTGGGGAAACTGATTTTCTTTTTAAAAAGAACTTCCTCATATCTAATTGCAGAGCACAGAAAATTGGGCAGTTTTCAAAAGGCTGGAGGAGGAAGGAACATAGTGAAATAGAATAGAAGTCAAAAGAAATGTTAATGGGTCACGTTCTTTGAGCATGCTGCGTGCACAGTTTCACAATGGTATGTGTGTTGGTGGGGTGGGGGGGGTGTTACAAGGAAGGTACAAATTCTTTCCCCCCTTAACATTGGTGTTGCATATTGGTTTCAGCAAGCTTATAAGGCCATGAATGAAAATGGTATTGGGCCTAAAAATGAGATAGTAACATAGTGCGTGGCAACAATAAAATCTTAGTCTCCTCTGAAAAATTCCCAGACAGACACCTAGATCCCACTGTTCTTCACTGAAAATCGAGTCCTAACACTCCTTCAAGAAACCTGACCTAATGGTGTAAATAACATCATAGGTTATTAGCATGTATACTACCCATTGCATTAATGGACATTTTAGTATATTGACACACTTGCTGGGATGCTTTATTCAGGGATGTTCCTGCCTTGAGCAGGGACCTGGTCTACAGAGTGTATGATAGAAGTGTAGTGGACGAATGGCAGAAATGCTACTTCAAGAAATCACTTGAGTCAAAACCTACATTGACTGGAGCTAAAACCAAGAAGAGATAATAGAAGGGGCAAATCCCTCATCAGCATATAATCCTTTGGAAGAAATGAATTGGTGGGAAGGGACAGTTAACTACTGCAAACCAGGATCATGAATTCTGATGTACAGACAAACAAGGTAGAATTTCTTCACCCTGAAGACTTGGCTAATCTATCATCAAGACACTAATCACCTGATCTTGGTCTTTTGGCTAAGATGACAGGATTTAAACAGAGTGAAACGTGATATGTTCTATATCCATGGGACTGTTTCCTTAACTTGCAAGTAGATTATCTTTGTGTGGCACTAGTTAATTTTGATTTTTGACTTCCTCTGGCCCCATTAATATTTATCAACACTACCAGTATGTACACTATTATGGGTAGCTTCTGTGCAGAGCTAGGGATGTTTGGTCAGGCGCCCCAAACCAACCACTTATTTTGACTGCTGGCCTTAGCTAAAGACCCACTTTCCAGGGTCCTCACCTCTGCTGCAGCTGAGGTTGTTGATAGCACCACCACCACCACGAGCTTTGTAAGAGATGCAAAAGAAACAGAGTTCAGTAAACTCACTCAGCTTTTCACTGATTTCATGTCTCTGGCTTGCTAGGCTTTTCCCAGGTTTCACTTGCCCATAGCCTCTTTCAGAGGCTTTGAGGGCCTGCAGGGTTTATGCAAACAAATAAAAAGAAAAGCCTTGCTCATAATAACTGCAGACTCCAAGCAGCCTTGCTCTCTGCCAGTGCAGCCACCCAGAGGCTGCTTTTAGCTCTTTTATTCCCCCCTGGCCCCCACACCTGGGTTTAGCTCCCTTGCTGGGAGGCTCCCTGCATCCCTGAACCTGGGCCCCCAGCCTCTGGTGAGTCCCCTCAGCTCTGCAGTGGGTGTGAGGGGGATGCTTTCAGGGAGTGGGGCCTTTCCAGCTTCTCCACACCCACAGTAACAGAGCTGGACCCTGTTACATAGTGTTAAATGAGTTTGCTTACTGATAAGACTAAACAGAATATCAGAGATGCTACTACTGATATTGCTGTTCACTTATCAGTCACTAGGGAAAAAATGTTTTTCATGTAAAGTATAAAACACCACACAAAATGTTTTGGGAATGATTTAAAAAGAGAAGGCAAAATCCTGATCCCCTGTAACAGGGGCCTTTGCAGGGCCAATCTCACTGTGGCCCACCCACCTGTTTCTCGGCTAACCGCCTGCCTTCTCACCCATCACACCTTGTTGGTAATTAATTAATAGAAGTCAATTAAGCTGGAGGCTGCCCATTTCTTGCCCCGATGCCAGGGGGCTCTATCTGCGGCTCCTATCCTTCCCTACCCCACAGCCCAAGCCTCGCAGATGGCATCCAGATATTCTTAACATCACCAGCCTCATGCTGGGCCCCCGAATCCTACTAATTGAACTCTGCCTGGATTCTTCTCTTCAGGCGGTCTCACCCACCTTCATACCGGGCAGCATAGCTCCCTGACCCGCTTCCCCTTCTGGGTGTGGTCCCCCTGGGACCTTTGGCTCTCTGGCCCCGGCCCACCTCCAGGCCACTAGGAGGCCTAGTGCAAATTGCACTAGGACAGGAGTCCAGAATTCGTTTTTATGCATCAGCCTAGGATAACAGTGGAATGGCAGCCTTCTTCTGAAACATTTTGGAAGTTTAAAATCATTGTCTATATTTTTGACACTCTTAGTGCACTTGGCCACTTCATAATACGTTGATTTTTCCAGCTTGTGTGAGCACTTTGTATGAAAATAGACTTTGCTGAGTTTTTGTAGAAAGCTAGCAGCATTCCTGAAAAGCACCTGGCCAAAACAAAAAACACACACACAAAGATCTTGTCAAGAGATGGCCTGATATGATTTAGAAAGCTGCTAAAGGGGGGGGTCTATGTTTTCAGTAACAATCAACACTCCAGCAGGAAGTGCTTGCACCATAAGCCACTGAAATATGTGGGAAACTTGCCAACATTTTCAGAGAGCTATGGATTCTTTGCAGTTAGTATTCAGTCTTTTAGTTATGTCACTTTTATAAGCTCTTCTCTTGAAGTTAAGAGTCTTATATATGTAAAACAGAAATCTGGTTAGCAAGAAGCAGATTTCACACAGGGAGCTATTAAAGTTACAGCTACTTCAATGAATGTTATTTGTTAAATTTCTGTGGCGCACAGTTGTAGGAGCAACTCCTAGAGGGGTTCCCTATTATTGAGGGGGCATGGAATGTGATATCTCAGATAAGTGAGTGGCACCGGGCTTTATCAGTCTTCCTTGTGGAGAAGTTGAGGGTCTTTCCCAGTGTGTGGCAGAGACTGGGGTATGACTGAAAAAGTTAACAGAAGTTCAATGCAGATGGTAAAGGGGTGTGAGAGAAAGCAGCTTAAAGGCAAACTACTTATTTCTCATGGTCATGGCCTGTGAGACTGGTAAAATATGCAGTTGTTGTTAGATGGTTTTCTCAGCAATACCAGACACTGCTTTCTAAAGTCTGCTTCTGCCTAGGAAGTATTTTTTTTTTCCTTTTTGATGTGGGTCTCACCACTGTAATTCTCTAGCCACATTGAGAGTAGCATCCAAGGGGTGTTCTATTTGGGAGTACCCATTAATCCCAAAATAACTGGAAGTCAGAGCTAAGGTAGCCACCAGCAGCCCCACTTGACAAACAGAGCGACTCACCAAGAGCATGTACAGCTGGTGTTCAGTGATTGGCAGGGGTTGCCTGTGATCCTGTCTGAGGTGTTGGCATTGACTAGGCAAAGGCCTGAATTACTTTGGGCCACCCTCCTTGAGCTGTTGTCTGTCCCAGTGGTATACTGTCAATCATAGTACAGTTTTGATCTCATGGTACTCAAATGGGATCCCTTGATACAAAACAAGAGATAAGTGGGCACAGCAACAGCTTACTCTTCACTGCAGAAATGACAGTTTTTGCTAGTCAAAACTCTCCTCCTCTTGTATAGTAAAGGAAGTCCAAATGAAATTCCAAGCTGTCTTTCAGCCCCTTCCCTTTGGTCACAGGCCTAACACAGCGTCAAGGAAATTCCACCTTTTCTAAAAGGGATCGGCAACTCTTCTCCAGTTGTTCATGCCAGCTTTTAACTCTCTGCCAGGAGCTCCACCCTTGAGCGCAACACTAAGGCTTGGAACAGACATTACACATAAACCAGTTTAAGTGATCAGAAACTGGTTTAAACCTGTAACAGAAGAGATGTTCAGTGCACATAAACCAATCTGAAAATGGCTGAAACTGGTTTGAGATAAACCTGATTGAATGTAGCATCAGACTTAACTGATTTGGGTCAAACTGGTTTATGCAATGTCTGTCCCAGACCCCTTCCTGGTTTAAATTAAATCAGAGTCCCCCAGTGTCCCAGCATGCTTTCTGAGCTAGGCGGGTTCTCTTCTCCACAGCAGGGCTGGCCACTCCCCTCTGCTCCCTGGCTGCAGCTCCGGCAGAGACTGCACATACAGCAGGGTCTGCTTGGCTTCCTCCTGCTCCCTCCCTTCCCCTCACCACTCCCTGCTGAGGCAGGGATTTTCCTTTCCCCTCTGCCTGACACAACGACCTCTCAGCATTAGCTAACAAACCACATGCTGGCTATAGTCCGTGCTGTGGGAGACGGGACAAAGGCAAACAAAACAGTGTTGGGTTAGGGCTTTTTGGAGCTAATCAACAGGCAGCTGGTAATGTCCCTTCCTTGGAAAAAAGTTGTTTAAGAAGAGCTGGAACTAATAAGAGAGGTTTTTTTCTGTTTGATGGGATGATAAATGCTAACATTTCCATGTTGGTCTAATAAAAGATATCAAATTCACCCAAGGAACCTTGTCTGCCTATGTCCTTAGACCAACACGGCTACAACCTACACCCCTGCAACATTTCCCTGTGTAACTCAATGCTCTGTTATCAACTCCCTGCTGGCTCCCTTGCTGGTCAGGGGGGCGGGGGGGAACCCCTCCCTAATCAGAACATCCTGCTGGGGCCTGGCCACACCCCACTCAGCTCAGCACTGTGGAAGGGAAGGAAGGGCTGCTCTAGTGGCCCCCAGCTCCTAGCCTGAGCCACTGAAGGCATGTGCCTGCATTTCTGGAATGAAAAGGGAATGTCTATCCACCTCCAAATTGGTTCAAGCTTTGAAGGTTAAACTAATCTGAAAAGATTGAATCAATTCAGGCTCAGGCTTTTTGAATGTCTGTCCCTAGCCTAAGTGTTCTGAGTACGCAGATTGCCTTTCCCAGCATCTTTTGCTTCATGGCTTCCTCCTTTCCCTCTCATTGCTCCCATAATTGTCTTCTCCAATTGTTCAGGCTTATTTCAGACCCTTAACAGAGAGGCCCAGAGCTATTTTACTGAACTCTAAAATAATGGAGTCACTTGACATCCCTTCCTTTAATGTTTTGTTGCAACAGCCTTTTAAATCTTTTAGAACTGAGAATGACTCCCAAAATTCCCTAGTTCTGGCCTGGGTCATTCTGAGTTATAGTTGCCAACTCTGTTTGTATCTATTCCAGGAAGTTTCTGGAAGGCCAACACGTGACACACGGTGCAAACGTGAACACATGCTTGTGTATATCAGTTACGGATTATAGTGCATTGACTTAATGTTAGGAAGGCAAATGCACATAACTATTACATTTTAAAAACCCACTGGACTACTGTATAAATCGGATTCAACATTTAATATTTATTTTAATGAAAGCTCTATCATTTATCTCCTGGGAGCAGTTTCCTGGGGATTTATATCTTATTCCTGGAGACTCCAGGGCAATCCTGGAGGGTTGGCAACCCTATTTTGAGCCTTTAGCCTACTTTCAAGGCCCATACTTCCTGTCTAAGGCACAAAATTTAGACTGGGTGGATTTTAGTATTTCCATACTAAAATGTGTGGAAAATTACATGTCGCTTCTCCTTTGAAAACATTTGTTTTCAATGCTAATCCTTCAAGGTGGTATGGTAACCATGAGCCCTTCTTAGAAAGTGTGTGCATGGGGGGAGGGGGGAGCATTTTGAAATAGTTTGGGCTACATGAAATGATAGTAATCCACTCCCACTATAATAAAACACGTAAGATTCACTGTACTTAAGAATGGTTTCTAGGTTAATTTCATGTTTAGTACTATAATAACAAAACAAGATTACTGTAATTCTGTTTGGAAACTCTGAACCCTGCCTTAATAGGCAGAGCTGTATTTTCCCGTTTTCCAGTCCCCAATTTTGATGAATCTTTAAAATAACAGCTCTGTACAACCTGGTGTCTTTGTAATACATAGGCACTGCTAACTCATTTCCCCCAGCAGCCAATTTGGGGGACTTTTTCTTATGTACTACAAGAATGGGAATTCTGCTTCACTTTTCTGGAGGTACCATGTACCCCAACCATATCCTGGAAATGTTAGAAGGCAAACATGCATGTGCAAAAGCACTCCAGAGTGCAGGCGTGGTATCCAAAATGAATTTTCAGGCCTGAATATGGCTTTAATCCAAACTGTTTAGACTTAGAGCCAGTGTGGAATTCAGAGCAGCTAGTGTGTTTCAAAGAGTCCTTTCATAGCTGCTCAAGTGCTTTGGCTGGCTTATGAGGTCTCTCACAATGCACTGCTTCTGTGAGCAAAGCTGCAAAATGTGGAATAGGTGCCTAGAAGGCCTTGAAACTGAGGTGGCCAGGACTATGCCAGTATGCACAAAGGTTAAACTGCACCTGGTGTTACATACAAACTTAATTATTAATTCAGTTTGGTGAATATGGATGCACCAGTAGCAATCACAAATAGCGTTGGTTTAGTGTTGGTCATTATGCTTAGTAAAATAACCATCCGATTAGTGCACCAGAGCACACATCCATGAGCACATCTGTGGACACCTCCAGCCTTTAGGATACTACCAGAACTTGTTAGATATAAGATCTTGCTCACCAAATCTGATGCTTATAACTTACATAACCTTGTAAGAATAAAAATTGGAAGATATCTCCAGTAATCTCCTTGTTGAGAGTCTAATCCAAAACTCACTGAAATAAGTGACAGCATTTTTACCACTTGCCATGAGATTGCATTAGGCTGTAAATTACAATGCTCTTCCTTTATGGTAGACACTGTCAGAGGAAATCTACCTTTCCAGTCATGCTGAGTCATCCCTCCAACTTTCCTGCAGTCCTATACAAACACTCAGGTACTTAATATCATTCACTTTACATTTTCACAGTTTGGGGAAAATGAAGCTTACAACAAGCCTGTGTTACCTCCCATGTTCGTCTATATATCCCTCCTATCAATAGTACAACTAAGAAAAAGCTGCAAGCAAACAAAGGAAAGAAATGTTTATACTGTTGGTGCTGTATAAGGCTCTTGTTTGTTTACAAAAAATGAGAAGCAATGGGTGGTTACACCAGGGGATAAAAGGCTTACATACACAAATCTAAAAGTGAGGTGGGGTTTTTTTGTTGAAGATATGCAGCCTTATTGGCCATGAGAAATTATCACTTATTGGTATGCTTCTGATAAACAAGTTTTTAAAAGTGTAAATAAAGTGAATTTTGAAGTTCGCTTTAAATTTACAAAATAGAATTTCTCTTTGGAAGAAGCAGGGGTGACATATAGGGGGTGCACGTGCGTGTACGTGCACCCCGTACATGTGTTGGTGCACCCCCTGCAAAAGGGTGCCACCAACACTGTCCGCACTGTTGCTGCTCGCTACTGGCTGCCAAATTTGGCTCTTGGAGTTAGTGGATATTACATGCTTCTAGTGAGTGAAGACAGGCTCCTAGGCTTCTTAGGCTCTGCAATATTGGTTGCAGTGCTAAATTCTCTTTTTGCAAAGTTAATGTGAGTGACACTTAGCATGGTGGTAAAAGAGAAATACTTATATTTATATCAGAATAGTAAAGAAGCTTTTCACTCTGTCTGTAAGCATGGTTTCAGTGTAAGAATATTTTTGTTGTTTTTCTTTAAAGTAAAATATGACCTTAACAACCCTGCAAAACACAACAAGCTGGATGCTCTCAATAACGTTGCAACTGGACTGGTGTTCATTATAGTAGTTGTGAATGTTTTTATCACTGCGTTTGGAGTACAGAAGCCTGCACCTGACACATCCTCAAAACAGTAGGTGACAGAAAGGTGAGTTATGGCCCTTTCAAATTCTTTTCTACTGCAGGCCAGTTGCCCTTTCCATATGTGTAACAGGCCACCCACTCCTCACCAGGGCTTTTTAAAAAATAATCAATTTTCAGAGTTCGAACCTTATGCATATAATCTCTATAAAAACCAAGCACACGCTTCATGCTAATTTGAAAACAGTTGATTTGAGGGATTATAATTTATGGTGTATTGACATTTATAATTTGAAGTGCAAGCAGAGACTTAGCCTACTACAGAGGCCTCTTCTATATCCCCTCTGTAGAAAATGTAAAGATGGTTTCTCAGGAAGAGACACTCTCTATGTTTAGTGCCAGTAGTGCCAAGAGAGGCAGTAAAGCTGTGCTTCCCTGCCCTTTCTCAAAAGCCTTTTTATTAGGCAGGTCAGCAACCTAATGCAAATGGAATTTTTTCTTATCCTATTCAGTTAACACAAAAAGACTCAAGCTTCATCCAAATTACTAGCATGATCACACCCTAGGTTCCTCTAAGGTGTCCTCTGGCTTTCATGAGTGTCATGAATTCCCCCTCCCCTGCCAAATACACTTCTTTTCAGTTATAGACAGCCCAACCCCCATACCACAGATATTCTTGTTTGGGACTCCGAAGCCTTCTGCAGTCTTGCAAGATACCCCTTGCAATTTAAGAAAGGCTCTTTGGACTGAGATCAGACCTTCAGATCACCATACCCCTCACCATCTCCAATATGCTCAGCTCCTGATGGAGACTTGAAAGGCAAGGAGTGCAAATAGAAGTGAAGGCATCTTGTCTTAGAAAAGCTATGATTTATCAGTCAGGTGCAGTACAACAGGTGGAGACCTTGCATCAGAATGGCCAAACCAAACCAAACCAAACCAGAGTCCATATCATCAAGAGACTCAGACATGAAGATCTTTGTCCCTTTGGGTTCTGTGCTGTATCTGTCTCCCACTTTCCAAGTCAGTTTTACATTGGTGGCTTTCTTTAATCCCTGGCCTTGGCACCTGTCCTTTACAAAATCACCTCTGATCATGGAGGCTTCCATTGTGCAACTCAGATGTTTTTCTTAGGTAAACTGTACTAATAGTACTCCAGATAATCTCATGTGCTTCCTTCTATCAATTGAGTGAACTCTAGAATAACTCTCAGTAACAATGTGTGTGTATTTTTTTTAAAGAAACCTTATGTATTATAAAAAATAAAGTCACAGAGTAATTAAAGTTCTGGAGAAAATTCCTTAAAATAAGAACCTTAAAGAGGACAATCTGTTTTGTTTAGCAAAAATAGGAAGTGAGAGGTCACTTGATAAGTAACACAGGGCCAGGGGGGAGAATGCCAGGCACTAAAGAACTTGTAATCTAGCAAAAAAGAATGTGGCAAGAACCAAAGGCTAAAGATGATGCCAAACTTGGGAACAAGATGCAAATTTCTAACAAAGAAGGCAAGTAACACTGGAACACACTATCAAAGGAAATGGTGGATTCTCCCTCTCTGTAGCTTTATGTTAAGACCAAGGAAGGCATTTGAATATCTGCTTAGCTAAATAAGTTATTGGGTTTACAAAAGGGGCAACTGTGGAATGCAAGGGTCTGTTTTATAAACAGGATATCAGGGATCCAATGATCCATTCTTGTCATAATCTCTAAGAATGTACTAATGTATTTCATTTTTAGCAATAGAGAACACTCATATATAGCCTTACCAGCTATAAAAGTTGTAGTCAGTGCATCCATTTTAGTGTCATCCCTTTTACAAAATAGGGGTTCAAAACATTACATGTAGAAGCTGTACTGAAAGTACACTTGGGTTGTTAAGACAGTCCAATCTAAATTCAGGCCTTCTGTGCTTGCATACTCTGCCTGGATAGTTGAGATTTCTATTCTGCAAGAGCCAGAAACAGAAGCCAAGAGAAGTCTCCTGGGTTTAAGACACTACAAATATCCTTCTATTTCAGAACTCTCTCCCTCATTCAGTCTGCTTTATAGGCAGGGACAAACAGCACATGACTGCGTAATTTAAATACTGTACCATAAGCCATGCATTCAAAAGGACCACACCTGAACTTCATGCTTTAAAATCTTCTTGAATGTCTGCTGTGGTCACCAGCTGAGTTAGAATCAAAGGGCTCTTATACACGTGCAGGGAGCCTGCTCTGATGCACTGTAATTCCAGCATGTCAGAGCAGACTCAATTAATCGTGTCTGCCAACGTGTGAAAATTTACACACTCCAGCAGCCTTCAGCATCATTTGCATCAGCATCCCCGTGCTGAAAAATGGCAGCAGGATGCTTTAAACTGAAGCTTGTTTGATGAGCGTTAGTTCAAAGTGCCCTGCTACTATTTTTCAGTGCAAGGATGCTGAAGCACGTGACACTGAGCTTTTAATTAGCTCAGCTTTTACACTCTGGGGGGCACTTTCATTAAAAGCTCCCCCCCCCGGGTCCCCCAGCCGCACATCTCCCACAGCACGTGTATAAAAGTCCACTGACTTTTAGAACTACAGCAAAGTTCTCTGTCACTTTAGCTGAAGGAGTAGCAGCAGTAGGTTTCTGTCCTCTTTTTGGACTTCCCACTAGAAGCAGATGCAACACATTGTCACTGGTTTAAACAGCTTTTTGCTAGATAGCAAAGAATGTTGGAATCAGAAATGTAAAGTTTTATTCCTGACTGAAAGGGATAGTGCTCTAGTAATTACCAGGGGCACAGTCATTTGAAGAATATGCTCATTATGTCTCCTTCTGGAATTACAAATGAATAGGAATGTTGTATGCAAGACAGAGCAGGCACTCATTCCTATCTGCTGGCGCTGGGAAGGACTAAGCTGGTAAAGCATGTCTGGTTCAGGCAGCAGACTTTAAGATACAGACAGGAGAGTAATAATAATGATAAGAAACTTAGAAATCACAATGATGAGGAAAGACTAAAGTAATTGGGCTAATTTTTTCTGCACTAGCACTGTCCAATTTCAAAGCAGCTGCGGGCCTCACATGACAGTGGCCATATAGTACACGGGCTCTCAAGAGCCTTCCTGCTACTGTGTGGGCCGCACAAGCCCCCTCTGGCCTGACCTGCTAGTTTACCAGGCCACCTCCAGCCCTGGTGCCCTGCCTTGCCCTGAAGATCCCAGCCACCACTGCAGAAGCAGAAACAGAAGCAATGATGGGAGTAGTGACTGGCAGGATTTTGTGGGCCCTGCTTTAATCCTTTGTAGACTAGATGCAGCCCAGTTGGACAGTGCTGCTCTAGAAAAAGGAGAGACTGAGTGGAGGGTCATTCAGCAGTCTTCAAATATATTGTATATATTAAGCTTGTTATAAAGTAGACAGTGATCAAGGTCCTTCACGGAAAATGTAGTAGTGGGGGGGAAGCAAAAAGTCACTTTAATTTGCTGCAAAGACTATATTAGGATGATAATGGATACTGGGGGAAAAACTAAATATTAGAAGCTGAAACACATTTCCTGGGGAAAGTTCTGGAGTCTCCTTCTCTGGAGTTTCTTAAGAGACAAGTTAGACAAACATCTGCCAGAGGTGAACTAGGCATACTTCATCCTGTCTCTCCATGCAGCGGGGTAGAGGAAAGGACCACCTTTCTGCTACTATATTTGTGATTCATTTTGAAATGCAGTGTTGCCAATTAGATTGATCTGTCATACTACAGTTGTCCCAGCTCTGCCAGAAATCGTCTTCTCCATGCTTTTAGCTACAACATCTGAAAAACGGAAGGAATGAAGGGTGGGGAAAATGGTAGTTATTAGTTTCTTAGGGTAGGGTCATGAGGCTTGTTCTGATGTTGGAGCCATGAACTACATAAAATTAACACCAGTTAGGCAAAGAGCTAAAAATGTCATTAGAAATAATGGTCGCCACCTGTAACCCAGCTCAGCACACCTTGTGCTCTAGAGGGAACTTTATAGCTTCTTTAGTCTTGTCCTACTCTATCTTAAAAGCTGAATAAGAGCTTGAAGCATGCTCAGAGCAGGTTGAATGTTCAGGGACTAGATAACTTGGTAAACACCTGCTGCTGGAGATCATGGATATCTTTAGAACTTCATCAGAGCTAGGTGAACTTTCATAGGGATAGCACAGGGCACATCCTGCCACCAGATTACTTCCCCATAGAACACAGAAATCCCTAGTTTAGGTTGTAGACACTAGAGCTCTTCAAATGGACAGCTGGAAACTTAATATAAGACTACCTACTTTTCCTTAGCTCTGTTCTTAGAAGTGACTCCAGCTGATTTTACAGAGTTAAAAAAGAAACAGGAGAAAACCATTGCCCCCTTTCTCCCTGTCCTCCAACACATCCCCCACAGTCAAAAGAAAATCAGGTATAACATTTTTTAGCTTAAGTGAATGTATTTTGACTGAATTATAAACAATAAGGGCCAGGCATATGGTAGCAGGAACTAGGCAACCTATATCAATGACTATTTTTCTCTCATTCTCTATGGTTCTGCTCAATTATCTGGTGAAAACTTGGCCATGAATAGGGTGACCATAACAAATTTCAGGGAAATCTTTGGCACGTGCCAGCATGCATGCACCGCCCCCTGCAGGTCCCAGGAGGAGGTCAGGCAGGACAGTGCACACACACCACACCCCAGCCCCTGACCCCACAGCTCCTAGGAGCAGCAGTTCAGGACTGAGGCCAGGCAGGACAGCGCACACACACACACATCCCAGGAATAGGGCTGGCCAGGACAGTGCAGCCTACAGGTACATACACCCCCACTCCAACCCTTCCCTCCCCCACTCCCACTCTACTGTGTAAGCAGCTCCACTTGCAGCCCAGCAGAGTCTGTACCAGGCAACAGCCCATTGAGAGGGCTCCCAGGAGAAAATGGAAGCAATGGTCCTGGATTGGCAGGAACCCGCCAGCACATGCCCAGGTCCTGAGTCAGGAGCTGGGCACGTGAGCCAGGTTCACACTAATCCACGACTTTTGCTTCAATTTTCTCCAATGCTTTAAAAATCTGGGACTGTCCCAGCCAGTCTGGGACATATAGTCACCCTAGCCATGAAGCATACCTTAAAAGGACATTACATCCAGACTACTTTGAACTAGTAGATTGGTATCCAGAATCCAGAGCTCAGTCAGCAGCATTTTCTTGTAATCAGAAGCAAAGGCCATCATAAATGTTTCTCCTGATAGCACTGGACAATCTTGTGCATAGACTGATTCCAGACTATTTAGGGCTTTTATAGATTATAACCAGCACCTTAAAACTGTTCATAAATATGATAATGACTAGTGCATATCATAAAACATAGGTGTTAAGTGCTTGTTCCATCCAACTACTTGCTGATTGATATCTCCTACATTTTCCAGCTTCTGATTCAGTTTGACTCAACACTGGTTCTCGGGACATACTGGTTTCACAGCCTTGAACATGGTTGCTGTACTCTGCCACAGCTACAAAGCTCAACAAAAAACAAGTTTATGGAGTCTTGCAGCTGTTAGAGTTTAAGGGACATCTGTTTCATTGCATCATATGCCCATTCTACTTCAGACAGCATTAAATGTGCCAAGCTAGTTTCTGCATCAGCTATTGTGCATTATCCCCTTCAACCTGTAAGAGGAAATTCCTCCCCTACCTCTACCCCCAGCCAGCCTTCTCCCTCTCACCCCTTCCCCACTCAAATGAGAGAAAGCTACATTGATTTTCCACAGACAATTTTTTTAGTGCCTGGTTTTGTGCAACTCAAGTTGACTCTGCTGACAGACTTCCACGTGACATTTATGCAATAGCGTCTTTTCATCAGTTCCTTCAACAAACACACAATCCAGAACTTCTGGCCCAAATGAGGTAATTTAAAAAAATGGCTATCCTCTTGATGGAAGAGAGAGTCTGAGCCTAAATTTTTTGTGGTCAGCTGCAACTTTTAACCATCTGAGGTCAAATGGAAACCTCAAATGCTGAGAGCAAAAAGGAAAAAAAAAAAGCCACAGTTGTAACACCCCCTGGATTTAGATCTATTATTTAGATTATTAAATATTATTATATTTAGATCTATTGCATAACCTGTCAATGAAATTTTAATGTATGTTTCAGTTCATTTTCTGCAATGCAGGCAGAACAATTTAAGGAATCTCAAGTAGAGGAAGAAACAAAGAGAGAGGGAGGCTGCTACATACAAGTCCACTCCTGCACAAGGCTCTAGCAGTGTGCTCCCACCTGCACGTGTTCATACATAAGCATGCATCCATCACCGTTGTGCCTAGACTTTTGGTTTTCTACCCCTATCTTGTTAGATACCTCTGGATGCTGGAGATAGTTCTTTGGATATTTATGCATCTGATTTGACCATTTGCACTTATTGCCTTTCCTAGAAATATCTGTCCATTTGCATTAGCCTTAATAGCTCACTTAAATAGTAAATGTCTCTTCCCCTCCAACTAGGCTTTCAGCAAAAATACAATCCCTGGTGGCCAGATGAAGAGTATATGCTGGGAGTGTGGCCAATGTGGCTTCCTTTTACTGTGCACACGATTCAGGAAGAAATTTCACTTCCATTGTAAAAGGAACTTGTGAATCCATGCAATTAATTTGTTGACTTTTTTTTTCTGCTTTTTATTTCAGAAATCTGAACCACAGACCTCTCAGCAGATACCTTCTGCATTTTATCTTGGACCCAAAGAGAATAATCTGAAGAAGTGAAATTATTCAAACTAGCCTCTTTATTAGTTTTCTTCATCTGACGTTTTTCTGTGCCTGAAATTTTTATCTTTTAAATGTTTAAGGTGTTTAGTTTCTTTTGAAAGCATCAAATATTACAAATCTTAGCACATTGATGCATTCCAAGATTAAGGCAGCTCTGTTTCTCTAGCAACTGGTAGTTCTTCAAAGAAATATGCAGCATAACATATTGCAGGGAATGAAGTGATGGCATCCACTTCAGAGACATCTCAGGACTCTTCACTTTCTATGCCTTCTGTTTTCCTGGTGGGCAAGAAGTTGCCCAACATAATTGTTGATTGTTGTCTACTCTGGCAATGGTTTCCAAACTTTCTGGACCAGTGGACTGCTTTCAGCCCTCAGAATATTTTGTGGACTACCATATACCCATGTCATTAAGGTTTTAAGTGAAAAAGCAGGGAGAGGGTATAATTCTTGAACCACTTGCTGTGGCCTCAAGGGAATAACTAAACTATCGAAAATAAGGGCTTCAGTTTGGCATGATCACACTGCCTATACCTCACTTCACTGGGATCTAGATATTTGTAATTCACAGTGCAGTTATCTTTATGCTGAATCAAGAGGCCACATCTTATTGCCCCTCTGTCAGCTAATTGGAAACTCTGCTTCCTCTAAGTTAAAAGGAGAGACTATTAGGAACAAAAGATCAGCTGGAACATTCAGTTGTCCAGTTTCCCTCACAAGCAGTCATTTGCCCAACTTCTGTCTCTAGATCACAGTCAGTACTTGACAATCTGAGTGAATCTCCTTCCCTGTCATGCAACCACAGAAACAGCCCCTTTGCCTAGTTTCTCATCCACATTGTACTCTAGCCTGTAAAAATATATTATGTACCATTCTAGCCTCTTATGAAAAGTCTGTTAACATGTTACTATATCTAGGCCCAGCTGAGTAACTTAAGAATAGAAGGTTAAATTCATCCATGCACAGAGGGATTTTTCAGGGCACCTATGCTATTAACCCTGAAAAACAGTGTGCATTAACTGAATTTTGCTTGACAGCTTTTTCTGCATGCTCTTGCTTTTGTGAGTATGTGACTAATTTGAGTCGAAAATAAATTTAAAACGGTGGGGAGATCTTTATGGCTCATGTAACCTGCTGGCACGGGAAGTAATTTTTCCTGAGTACACACTGCTGCTGGCAGTGATGTGTATTGTAGATACTACCACTAACAAAAGCATTTTAATCCTTTTATTTCTAATTTATAGTACCTGCAAGTAGAAGTTTAGTTTTCTTGTGTTAACTTCCTTTTAGATATAAATGTGTATTAATATATCTCCTTTGTCATCACTTTATGTTTTAAAATCTCTCATCTTGTAGCACTATACATAAAATTATTAAGAGAACTGAAAGTACGTCGAGTTCTCAAAGAAGCCTTTATGAAGAAATGAGCTTTGAGACTTCTCTTGTTTTCTGTAGGTTACGTAAGTATTATCTTCCAGCAGAAAACAAAGCATCAAAAAGTTTTTGTTGCTTTGTTTCTTGTTAAGACTCTTTTCTTAAAAGTCTCTGGTAAATAAGGTCTGTACAACACAGAGCAAAGACATTTTACTGTAGCTTAGAGTAGCTACAAGCAGATGCTTACCACAGATTTCCCCAACATTTAATGTAATCTCTCAAATAAAAATTAGTCAAAATAATAGTAAATAAAACAGATGAAGAAATATCACTATGTACTAGGGCTGTGCGAAGCTTCGTTCCCCAATGCGATTTGGCAAAGATTCGGCCCAATTCAGAGACCGAATCTCCAAATCCGAATCAAATCAGGAGGCCCTTTAATCTCTCCAAATCGAATTGGAACCCTCCAAATCGATTGGGAGAGATTTGACGATTCGGACATAGACACAATTTTAAATGTTTTTTTCTACATACCTCAAAGTACCAGGTGG